GTATAGAAATCTGAAAAATAAAATAATAGATAAAATAAATAATAATATTCTATTCTATTCTATTCTATTCTATTCTATTCTATTCTATTCTATTCTATTCTATTCTATTCTATGATTCCTATTTGCATTTAAGGAGAGCTTGGAAGTAAAGTGTATATGACATACACAATCCTTAGCCGTCTGTGAACAAATCAGAATTAAGATAAAAGCTTTGGCTTGGGGTGAATAAAAATCGATTACCTTCTATTTTCTTCCGGGGGTGACGGGAGACAAAGTGCCAGATGGAGGAGGAAAAGAACTAGCATTTCAATTCAGACGATTCCCAGCTGTGGCAGAAAAGCATTAGGTAGCCTGGAATATACACAAAAGAAAAAAGAAAGAGAGAGAGAAATTGCAATGAAATCTGGACACCCTACACATTTAGGAGGCCCAAGTTTTATAATCTGAATAAACTGCCAGGCCTACAATTAAAAAAAGACATCCTGAAGAAGGCTGGGGATGAAAGAACAGGTGTCCCAATGGTCGTGAGAAGAATTCGCACTCTACACAGCCTTGCCTTTGGGGTGTGCTAGAGAAGGCAGTTTTATAATCTTCTTATATACTATAAGTATAAATTATAAGAGCCTTGGTGGCGCAGCACACTGAAGTGCTGTTAAGTAGCACCAGCTGCCTGCAATTACTGCGAGTTCAAATCTCACCAGGCTCAAGGTTGACTCAGCCTTCCATCCTTTCGAGGTAGGTAAAATGAGGACCCGGATTGTGCGGGCAATAAACTGACTGTATAAAAAAGAACACCGCTTTGGGGGCCCTCGAAAGCTCTATTAAGCAGGTATATACAAAAGTATGAAGGCTATTGCTTAACGCATTGTAAAACGCCTTGAGTCTCCGGAGAAAGGTGGCATATAAATTCAACCAATAAACAATATTAAACAATAAATGTACAATTATAATGATAAAAGTGACAGATTAGGTAAAATTGAAAAAGAAATCGAAAAGAAAGTATATATTATTAGAATACTGGAGTTGCTCGGATACCAAACGGGATATATTCCACCACAAAGGAGAAAGAAAGGAGAGAGGAGGGTAAGGAGAGGAGAGAGAGAGAGAGGAATGGAAGAAAGGGGAAAGGAGAGGAAAAAAGGACAGGGGATAGGAGTAGGAGAGAAGAAGGTGAGAAAGGGGGGAAGGAGTGGGGGAAAGGAAGGGGAAGTAGGAAAGAGGGAGGAGAGGAGGAGGGAGAAAGTAGTAGAGGAGAGAAGGGAGGGAAGGGAAAGAAAGAAGAAGGAAAAGAAGGTTTGTTGTGAAATGAGGGGGAAAAAAGGGTAGAAGAGCAACCCCCAATGTAATTAAAATGCCTTATTTTTATCCTTTCTTTAAGAAAAATATGTATATGTATGTATGATCAATTATGCATAAGAGAATGTACATTTACATTATGTGTATAAGAATTAAAAATAAAAATAAATTCTTTAAAAAAGGGAAAAAAAGAAGGCAGTTTGCTGCCAGTGTATGAATATTTCAAGTTTTGGATGACAAGTGAGGCCTGGACTTCAGAAAATAAATAGTAGTTAACTAGTGAAAATTAACCAAGAAAAGAATTGGGGAGTGCCATCCAATGGACGGGTGGGTGGATGGGCCTAACCTGTTGCTTTCCCTTGCTTTATTGGAGGCGTGTAAGGTGTGATGTGCTGTACAAAGGAAACCCCCTCCTCGTGACACATCTTCACACAAGAACCTGCATAGGGGGTATTAGGGAGCTCCAGACCATTAATCCCTGGTTGTTTGAAATGATATTTTTTTGGGGGGTGGGCTCTTTCATCTGGGAGTAGGGAGAGGAAAAACATCAGGAAAATCCGAACCTGTTGTAAATGTACAATGTTAGCGAAAGCTGCTTTCTTTTGTGACTTGGGGTAAGAATTAGCCAGTTTGGGCAAGGTGAAATCATCTTTTATATATGGATTAAGTAGAGTTCTTCCTTGCTCTACTAATCATTCAATCTCTCTATCACTCTATCTATTTCTAATCATCTATTATCTATCATCCCTCTCTCCATCCATCCATCCATCCATCCATCTCTAATCTATCATCCATCTCTATTCCTATCTATCTATCTATCTATCTATCTATCTATCTATCTATCATCTATCTATATCTATCTCTAATCTATCATCCATCTTTCTTATCTCTCTCTCTCTCTCTCTCTCTCTCTCTCTCTATATATATATATATATATATAAAATCTATCTATCTATATCTATCTCTAATCTATCATCCATCTTTCTTCTCATCTCTCTCTCCCTCTCTCTCTCTATATATATAATCTATCTATATCTATCTTTAATCTATCATCCATCTTTCTCATCTCTCTCTCTCTCTCTCTCTCTCTCTCTCTCTCTCTATATATATATATATATATATATATATATTCTAATAATCTATTATCTATCATCCATCTCTCTCCATCCATCCATCTCTATCATCCATCTCTAATCTATCATCCATCTCTATTCATATCTATCTATCTATATCTATCATCCATCTCTCATCTCTCTCTCTATACATCTTATCATCCATCTCTCCCCATCTCTCTCTAATCTATCATCCATCTCTATTCATATCTATCTATATCTCTAATCTATCATCCATCTCTCATCTCTCTCTCTATATATAATCATCTTATCATCCATCTCTCCCCATCTCTCTAATCTATCATTCATCTCTATTTATCTCTCTCTCTCTCTCTATTATATCTAATCCATCTCTCTCTCTCTCTCTCTCTCCATCCTCTATCATCTATCCATCCCCTTCCTCCCTTCCTCCCTTCCAACATAACCTCTCTCTCTCTCTCTCCCAATTCCTACCCATCCTGTATCTGAAAGGGAGGAAGGATGTGTGCGTGTGCACTCACAAGGATGGGGCACACACAGACACAATCGGGGGGTGGGGTGGGGTGAGGGGGTGGCAGTCCCCCAGATGCCGGAGAGGGCAGCTGCAGATGGCTGAAGTGAGAAGATTGGCCTCGAGTGACAGCTTTGCTGGGCATAATAAATACAGAACTGCAGGGAGGCCTCTTAAGGCGGTCGACTCCAACGCATAATAAACCACCAGCCAGTTTAATAAACAAAATAATAAAACAAGCATAATAAACACCGGCCAGAGAAACAGTTTGGTCTAGTTAGTTAGTTAAGGCACCAGACTAGAAAGCCAGGAGACTGCGAGTTCAAATCCAGCCTTAGCCAGGAAAGCTGACTGGGTGACTTTGGGCCAGTCCCCCCTCCCTCAGCCTAGCCCACCTCACAGGGTTGTTGTTGTTGTGGGGGAAAACATGAGGAAGATGCTTTTGGATATGTTTGCCGCCTTGAATTATTTGTAAAAATAAGAAAGGCACAAGATAAATAAAATAAAAAATCAATCACACACACACATACAGGCAGACAGTCCTCCCATCCCCCTTCTTCTTTTAACCCACAATGAACAAGCTACCCGCTCTTAATAAGTCCTAAACCAGGTTAATGACCTGGGTGTTGCTAGTCCTCATTGTCCTTGCTACTTCTAAGGCGGAGGCCCTCCTCTTTGTGGCCCAGCCCTCTTCTGCGAGCTCCCCTTTGGGCCACGCCGGGCCTGCCTTGCAGGGGTGTGAGGAAAAGAGCAACCCCAAAACCCTTTTGGAGGGAAAAGGCACCAATGAGGCACCAAAATCTCCCCCATGGGGCGCCTCACGTACCCCAAGAGACATTTGAAGGCCGACCTGGCTCAGCAGGGGCCAAAAAGGGGCCCTTTGGGGCCAAAAACAGGGCCTTCAGCTGGCGCCTGAGGTGTTTGGTGCCTGCCCTCCATTAAAGGAACGAGCCCCACCTGTGGGCACCTGAGGGGAGTGGGGGTGGGGTGGGCCATGAAGAAGCGGGTGGGGTCAACAGGCTTGGGATGGAATGGCCTTTGGGGTCCTGGGTGGCTGGGGATTATGGGGGGGTCTAGTCCAAAGCTCTCAGGAAGGCTGAAGCCAGGATAAATAAAGGTCCGGATAACTTCATATGATGGGTCAATCGTTTTTAAGCCAGCAATTTGGGAAGTGGAGGGTCTGCATTGGCCCTTAAAAGCCTCTTCATCCTGCACTCCCAGGGAAACGGGCATGTTTTTAAATATGGTATCTAAATAAATTACATTGAAATATAAATGTTGCAGATTGCAAGCTCCTTGGAGGGTAGACCCACCCCCTCCCCAAAACCTCATTTTATACATCCACAGGCATTTGACGTTTCAACCTAAAATACTTTTTCCCCCCTCCCCATTTCTTCATTGTTTATACCGTTTTTATTAGTTTATAATATTAAGTAGAAAAGCAAATTGGAGCAAAAATAAAGGAGGGGAAGGGGTAAGTGTAAAAAAGGGGGGAAAATATGTTGACTTCTATCTCCCAATTTCTAAACTCCCCCATTTCTCTCCAAACAGGACTCTAAAGCATCTTGGAGATTTATTATTGTTTTCATGCTCTTGTTATTATTTTTCAGAATATCTGAGGTTATTATTTTTCAGAATATCTGAGATTATTACTTTCAGAATATCTGAGGTTATTATTTTTCAGAATATCTGAGATTATTACTTTCAGAATATCTGAGGTTATTACTTTCAGAATATCTGAGGTTATTATTTTCAAAATATGAGAGATTATTACTTTCAGAATATCTGAGATTATTATTTTCAGAATATCTGAAATTATTACTTTCAGAATATCTGAGATTATTACTTTCAGAATATCTGAGGTTATTACTTTCAGAATAAATATCTGAGATTATTATTTTCAGAATATCTGAGGTTATTATTTTCAGAATATCTGCCAGATGAAAACTATCCATCCTCATCCCTGTTTTAAAAAACCTCTTACCTTGTTGCTGGTTTGCAGGGGACAAAATGGGGGTGTCGGAAGTGCAAACAGCCTCCTTCGTGTGTGACACCCCCCCCCCACGCCCACGTAGTACCAAGAAAAGGCAAAACGGGAAAGGTAGTGTAGCTCGGTTTTTATTTATGTCCACAAATATTTCAAAAAAATTACAAAATACTCAAATGGAGAGAACACAGAATTCACAACTCCTGGGTTTTTTTTTTCTTCTTCTTCTATATCCTGCTTTACACTGTGTTACCCCATGGCAAACTACTCATATATACACTAAGCCTCAAGATATATATAAACGTAGTTGTCAGAAGGGAGAGCTTGAATAAGGACAACACTGAACGAAGAGACGGGTTGGTGAAATAAAACGAACGAACGAAAATAATGATCCACCCCAAACTAGGAGAGTGGGGCAACCAGAATGAGAAAAAAAAAGAAAAGGAAAAAAAAGAAATGTGTTGTTAAAACAAAACAAAAAACGGAGAAGGTTCTGCAAAATGTTAAACCACAAAAGGGAAAAAAAATCGGGCGGTTGCAACAGAGAAAGGCGATTGCTAAGAGATTGGGAAGAAGTAACACTGCGAGTTAAAAAGTTTTCCCACCCTGGAATGATTCAAAATATTAACTGGAAAATTGGAAGGGTGGGTGGGAGTTCAACAGGATGGTATCTTTGACTTGAGTGTGCAACTTCTGTTTTCCGCGTTTCCCAAAAGGGGATCTTACGTTTAGGCAGATTCCCCGAAGACTCGGGAGGTTTACCTGTTGAAATTAAGATTTTGCTTTTCTCTTCCACGAACGAACAGGAGACGGAAGAAGGATGTTCACAAATTACTGGGGGCTATTCTGCTGTTGTTGTTGTTTTTTAGTGTTTTCCACTCCAGAAAAGCGGATGAACTTTTCAAGATTCCTTCACTTTTTTTTTTAGCTTGTCTTGCTAGTCGGTGGGGAAAAAAAATACGGTTTTGTGGTTTTTTTTGCATCTGACTTGCAAAAGAAATAAATAAAAATTAAAAAAAAAGTTTTTTCCTGCTTCTCAGTCCCATTCTCTTCCCCCAAAGGCCAGATTTAACTGTTTGTATCTCCTGCAAGTAAAGGCAAGGGAGACCCATCCGATCGCCAACGTGGATTGAGGTTTAATTCCGGGCTGGGTGAGATCACCCCCAAAAGACACCGCCACCCCCCACCCCGAGCCAAGCCAAATCTATCTTGTGAAACCGAGATGCAGGTCTGTGCTGGGAATTTTTTCTTTTTAACCTTTAGGGCGAAAGGGATGATGGGGGCAGGCTGCAAACTGCCATCAGGAAGGGAGATTCTGAAGGATTGGGAGAGGGTATCCTGAGAAAACACAGGTGATTTTATTTTTTAAAATGGCCTTTGCACCAGAAATCTTGGCTTCCCCCCTGCCCCCCCCAAAAAAAATAAAGAGGGAGGGGAGAGACACGGGGCAGCAAAGGCTTCCGACAGAAGCAACGAAAAGGGGAACTGGTGACGCAGGCACACGTTTCGTATTGGCCTCCCAATTTAAAAGCTTGTCTGACGTTAACCGTGGGAAGGGCGAGGATTCACAGTGCGAGTCCAGCAACGGCCAGGTAGCTCAGCTGGAGGCTGGCGTGAACGATCTCGCGAAAAGGCAAGTCGTCTTAACCAAACGCGTTCCTGAGTGTTGCCAAAAATTCCGATTTTATTCCGCTTCCCGACACAACCCAGAGGGTAGACTGAGGCTGGAAGGGAGGAGAGAAACCTGCCCGAACAATCGTGCGTGCCCACGGGCGACTTAAAATTATATTTACAGCCAGCATTTTTTATGCATAACCGGTTTGAAAGCAGCCTACTGCTCTGGCCAAGCCTTTTTAACCTTTTCTCAAACGATTTAAATTGATGGGCTGGCAGAAATGATCCACAGGCTCAAATTAAGAAGGGTATGGTAAAAAAATACCTTCAATGTTCCTACGCTGTTGGGATAAAAAAAAAAAAAAAGCAATAAAATCAGAAAAAGGAGTGTGGTATGTAAAAGAGGCACCTCCAGGGATGAGGTGATGTACCCACAATCTGGAAGAGACAACTGCTTTTGTAACACAACCAGCTACTGAAGGAAATGGGAGGAGAATGTTTATGGAACGTTAAGTAATTAAATAAAGAACGTTGCACATGTAACATGTGTGCAAAAAATAAAATCAAAACTGTGTTTTGTTTTTTTTAATATTATCCCTGCAACTCCTTTTAATGCTTTTGCGCTCCGACCAGCCGTTCTGAAATTATTGACTTTATGGTGCTCCCCTTTTTCATGAATCAAAGGATCGCTTATATATATATATATATTCCTCTTATTTGTTTAAAAAATCAAGTCTATATTCTCGTGAAACAGCAGGTTTTAAGAAGTAGATGATTTTATGATGAGAGAGGAAGGAAGTCGGGGCTGGAGAAGAGGCAAAAAAATAATTATTATTATTAATAAATCAGGAATTCATGAAATTATAATCATCTTTTTAAAACCCCTAACCCCTCCCCCGAAAAACTTATTTACAGACTTAAAAAGCCATGCTGCAAAGCTCTCTTTTAAAATTATGAAGTTTGCCTACAATGTATTAAAATAAAAGTAGATTTTTTTTTCTTTTTTTAAAATTCTATTATAGCACTTGGATTTTTTTCTCCGGAGGTTTGTAAAGCCACTAACTTGCGATTCTCGGGTATTTTTTTTATTTTTATTTTAAGTATATATATATATAAATTGAATATACTTTTTTTTTTATGCACAGTGGCTTGCATTAGAGGTTGTGAATCTGAAACTAGCACCTACTCAAAAATGAAAATGAAAAAAATAAAATAGAATAAAAATAAAACCAACAGCCAAAAACATACCAAACCAATAAGAAATTGTTTGGATTAATTTCTCTCCCGGTTCTGTTTTGTTCCTCTTCTTCCTCCCATTCCAAAAAAGGAAAAAAAAAAAAAAAGGGGAAAAAAAGAAAAGGCCTTTTAACAGGTTTAAGTCATGCAAGGAGACTCCTGAACTGGTCTTTTGAGAAATCTTTCCTACAAGTGAATACTATACAGAACGTATGCACCAATTCACGTCTCGTGTGAGGTTTGGCTTTCGGGCGAAACTGATGGGGCTGCTGTGTGTTTTCCACCGTGCGAAAAGAGAGAAGAAGGTTCTTTCCAGCAGTTCTCGAGATTCAAACACATTCCACTGCTTTCTCCCCCCACGAGGACTAGGAACTTGAGTAGTCAGCGTCACAAATAAATAAGGTATTACAACTGCTTGTCGCCCTCTTTCTTCAGACGGCTGGAAAAAAAGAGAGAGAAAAAAAGCAGGAAGTGAAAAGCAAGCGCGGGGCGGGGGGGCAGTGGGGGGGGGGGTCCAGCACGCGTCCCTTTACCTGTAATAGTCTTCTTGGCTGGGAAGATGCCCCCGTGGATGTGGGGGTGCCCGTGAAGCCACTGCTGCTCCATGGCGAGTCGCTGAAGCTCTGCCGACTGGGCGTGCATAGCTTGTAACTGATGGGCCGCTGACATGGGAGGAGGGATGGCGCCAGGGAGGTCGCGTGGGTAGGGGGCACCTGGGAGAAAGAGGGAGAAGGCATCTCCAGAGACGAGCAGGGCACGGATCACCCCTCCCCCCTCCCGGGGTCTTCCGTGTCCCATCAGTGGGCATACCGAGTGTTCTGACGGGAAAAAAAAACACAACCCTTTTTTATTACGTGACTGTGAATTCCTCTCATTCACATCCAGCAAAGTCTTTCAAGGGAGGATTGACAGTCACAGACTTTATCTGGCTTGGAGAGCCGCCAGGCCGATATCTTCAAAACTTGGCAAGGAGTCTCAGAGAGTCACGAACCAATTAGATGAACTAATTGTCTCCTGCAAACTCCACTCCCCTTTCGCTCCTCTTTTATTTCCCTCTGGGAGGGGCCGTTCATCGTCCACCTGTGGCTTTACTCCTGAGTCGTCTCTTGTTCTTTAGCTGTTCCCTTCTCCTGGCAGCTCACACTGGGAACAGGCTCCAGCTCTTCTTCTGCCCCACTGATGTCCGACTCCGAAGGCAGCTGACAACTGTCAGACGGCCCTGGCCCTCTCTCTGCCTCTGACGCAGAGCCCTCATCAGAGCCGTCCCCAGACTCCAGGACTGGCCCACGTTCCTCCGCAACCTCCTCACTGTCTGAGTCTGCCACTATCTCTGCTGGCGGGCCACAACACCGAGTTGGCTTTATGGGGAAATCCATCTAGGGATATTGACCATCTCCTCTGTGGTCTGCCCTCTTGCCCGCCCAACCCCTAATGTGGCTGGCCTGATAGGGGCAGGTGGGCATGTTGTGTGAACCTGGCAGGTTGCATCCCCGTCCCCCCACTCACCGAAGACTGGATGCCGCAGCATTTCATGCTCGTGAGATGGCTGTCCTAGCAGCGGGTTGGGGATGGTACCAGGAGGGTAAGGGAAGCGTGCCAAGTGCGGTCCAGCGGCTAGAGGGTCCACGAGGGGGTGAACGGGTCCGGCTGAGCCTGAGAAAGGGGATGGGGCAGGAGAAGGGGGTGGAGGAAAAGGGAAGAGTTACCACCCATTTAGAAACTCAGACTTTCCATCCAAGATCAAAATCATCCTCATTACAGACAGTCCTTAATTTACGACCGCAATTGAGCTTGAAATTTCCGTTGCTAAGCAAGACAGTTCAGTGAGTTTTGCCCCTATTGCAACAGTTATTCAACGAATCAATGCAGCTGTTAAGTTAATGACACGGTCGTTAAGCGAATCTGGCTTCCCCGTTGACTTTGCTCAACGGAAGGTCGCAAAAGGGGATTGCGTGACCCCCTGGGATTCTGCAACCGTCATAGATACGCATCTAAATTTTGATCACATGATCCTGGGGATGGTACAACAGTTGTTAAGTGTGAAAAATGGTAACAAGTCACTTTTTTCAGGGTCATCGTAACTTCACTAAACAAATTCACTAAATGAATGTTGTAACTTGAAGACTACTTGTAGCTGGGCATAAATGGAATTGATTAGAAAGCTTCTCTCTGCTGAAAAGTCATCCCTTACTTCTCTGCCCAGCATGTCTGAAGTGGCAGCTGCCTGTCAAACAACCCTTAATACTGTATTTTTTGGAGTATAAGACCCACTCCCCCCCCCCATAAAAGAGGGTGAAAGTTTGGGTGCGTCTTATACACCAAATGTAGCCCCGCCCCCCCGCCGGCCCCCTGGAAAATGGGGCTCGCGGAGGTGGCAATAGGCTATGGCAATCCCTGCAGCCTGAAACAGCTGATCCTCTGAAGGTTGAGCCAACCAACAATCAGCTGCTTGTGCTGATCAGGCTGGGCTGAAGCTGAAATTGAAACGTACTAAAAAGGTAGGTGTGTCTTATAGTCCGGAGCGTCTTATACTCCAAAAAATACAGCCAAAAAAAAAAAAAAGGGGGGGGGGGAAACAAGGGAAAAAGGTTTTCCTTTTTTCCTCAAAGAAAAAAGTTTTCTTTGAGGAAAAAGGGGAAGCTAATTTTGACAGGCAGGGAAAAATTCCCGCATAATTTGCTTTTATTTCTCTTCCTCTTCTTTTCCATCAACAATTCCACTCCACTTCTCAAAGCTTTAGCAAACTTAACGCACAACTCAGGGCCCCTTGCAAGAGCTAGATAGACTGGCCCTGGAATAAAAGAATAAAAATGGCATTTTTTCCCCCTCTCTCTCAAATATATCCATTGGCAAGTTATAGAGCTACAGGCACCAACTGCACTATGTTACAACATCAATGCTCGTACCAAAGCCAAGGAAGGAAGGAAGGAAGGAGGGAAGGAAGGAAGGAAGGAAGGAGGGAAGGGAAGAAGAAAGGAAGGAGGGAAGGGAAGAAGGAAGGAAGGAGGGAGGGAAGAAGGAAGGAAGGAGGGAAGGGAAGAAGGAAGGAAGGAAGGAGGGAAGAAGGAAGGAAGGAAGGAAGGAAGGAAGGAAGGAAGGAAGGAAGGAAGGAAGGAAGGAAGGAAATTTGTAGCTCAGGGTTGACTTGAGGCGTCCTTGATGCTCTATGAACTGGCTTGTTTTTCTTGCAGACGTTTCATTACCCAAATAGGTAACTAGTAAGGAATGAGGTTTGCTCTCAAGTTTATATTCTAGTGGCGTGCTCTGGCGTGATCTTAGAGGTGCTTTCGTTAGGGCTGTTTACTGTTGGCTTGTATGGCAGTTCCTTGATTGTTGGTCTGATGTTAATCTGGAGGTATTCCATCTGGATTAACATCCTGGAGGTCCTCATTTGGGTTTTCTAACAAGGGGGGGGGGAAATTGGGCAGAACCCCCCCCCCATTCTCTCCCTGCTGAGGCATTCTTGTGGCTGATCACCTTTAGGCAGGTATTTTCTCCAGAAAGTTAAAAGGAGAACATCTAGCAAAAAGAAGCTGCTACTTTAAAGGGATCCCTGAAACTCAACCCTTCTGTGTGTCAAAACAATGCCACCTGCACAGTCCTGTCCCCCCCCACGGGCACAGCTACTGAGGAATCGCAGTTTTAAAGTTTCCACAACTCGCCCCCCCCCCCAAAGGGAGCACACACCTGGGGGATCAGGTCTCTGAGATCTGAGCAGGTTCTGCCTTAATCCAAACCCCCTCTCTCAATCTTCAACGGATAGTTAGAACTGCAGGAAAAAACCATGGCTACCAACCTGCCGTCTATGGAGGACCTGTCTACTGCACGAGTCAAAAAGAGGGCTGGGAAAATATCTACAGACCCCTTGCAACCTGGATATAAATTGTTTCAACTCCTACCCTCAAAATGATGCTATAGAGCACTGCACATCAGAACAACTAGACACAAGGACAGTTTTTCCCCAAAACGCCATCACTCTGCTTAACAATTAATTCCCACAACACTGTCAAATAATTTACTAAGACTGTATTACTATTATCCTTCTCTTCCTTACTAGGGTCTATCTCTTCCCACTTATTACTATAACCATGTTGCTTGTATCTTTCAATTTATATTGTTTTTGTTTCTTAGTATGATTTGATATATTAGTAACTCTGACTATCACTAAGTGTTTTATCTTTTTATTCTCAATGAATGTATTTTATTCTCCTTATGTACACTGAGAACGTATGCACTGAAGACAAATTCCTTGTGTGTCCGATCGCACTTGGCCAATAAAGAATTCAAATAATTCAAATTCTATTCTATTCTATTCTATTCTATTCTATTCTATTCTATTCTATTCTATTCTATTCTAAATTATTCCATTCCATTCCGTTCCATTCTAATTATTCCGTTCCGTTCCGTTCCATTCCATTCTATTCTGAGAAAGGGCCCTGCGGCATCAAACCTTGGGATGACCATTTCCACAAGCGTCGCACCAACATGTTAACTCATCAACTAGCATCTTTTCTCTCCCATTGATGCACCGCAATCGAGATCCCCACCTCCCTATGTTCACACCTCCTTAGGGGCTTCTGTGCACCCCCTTGTGGTTTCCTTCTCTCAAACAGGACACCTGGCAGGACCAAGAATTGACTGAACGACCCTGGGTTCTCTTTCAACCTGATTATCGGCCTGCAGATACAACCACCGCTGCCCTCCTGGGTGCTCAGGAGCTGCCAACACAGAGTGGTAAGCTACGTGCAGAGGCTGTCAACCCTGAAGCTGGCCTGGCCGAAGCCATCTTGCTGCTTCAGTGCTGCCACACCGTGGTTTTTCCAACGCCATTGTAACTTGGAAAGCCGAGCAGTAACTGCACCAGCCTCAGGCTGGGAGAGACGTGGCAACGCAACTCGTCCCGATGTGCCAGTTCTCTGCCCATCCGAGGATACCTCCTTGCCCGGGGACAGTCCTTGGACTCAGTCCAAGGGACGATGGGAGATCCCCGGGGCCTCACCTTGATGTAGTGGGTCCTGTTGGTGGAGATGCAGATGTGAATGGATGTGGGAATGTTGGTGATGATGGGGCGTCACGTTGAACATCTGGAGCCTGGCCAAGGGATCGTTGGTGAGGGACGCCATGCGCTCGGCGTGGATCCTCTCGGCAGCCAGTCTGTCCGGGTAGCTCATTTCGGGCCGTAACTGAGGGCCGGCTAAAGCGAGTCTCTCCCTCTCCAGAGGGTTAAGCCCAGGGTGGAAAGAAGCGAAGGGGTGAGGGCCTGCAGTCGGGGGGATAGTGAGGGCTCCGTGACGGGCAAAGTGCTCCATGGGGTTGGTGGCCGGGTGGAGGGCGTCCAGTTCGGGAGGCTTCACCTCGAAACCCGGCTTCATCCTTTCCCGCAGTTCCCGCTCCCTGATCTCCCGCTCCCGCAGCTCCCGTTCCCACAGCTCCCGCTCCCGGAGGGTGGGGTCCACGTTGTAGAGGCCCGGCATGTGGTAGGCCAAGAGCGGGTCGGCGGGATTGAGGGGGACGAAGAAAGGGTGGTTCCGGTTGGTGGGGGACATGACGTGGGGACGCGCGTACTCGCTCAGCGTCCGTAGGGCCGGCGTGTCCGGACCGATGTAAGGGGGCACGGCCGCAATGGTGGTGGGAGGCGGTTCGAAAGACGGCCTCATGTGCGCTGGACCGCTTAGCTGAGATTCTCCGAGACGACCGTCGTGGGAGGAACTGGATGCTTTCTGCGGGGGGAAAAAGAGAGAGGCTCAGGGCAAATTCAAAAAGAAAACCCCAGCCCAGATGTTTCCTACTCTCCCAATTCTTCCATGGGAGGTATTGACTACGAGCAACTAAGATGATTAAAGGCGTGGAGATAACATGATACGGAGAATGATTGCAGGAATTGGTTATGCCTAGTCTAGAGAAAAGAAGGACTAGAATAGAATAGAAAAACCAGAGTTCGAAGGGACCCTGGAGGTCTTCTAGTCCAATCCCCTGCTTAGGCAGGAAACCCTACACCACTTCAGACAAATGACTGTCTAATCTCTTCTTAAAAACTTGACTCAGCCTTCCATCCTTTCTAAGGTAGGTAAATTGAGGACCCAGTTGTGAGGGCAATAAGCTGACTTTGTATAAGAAGACTCCCTCTTCTTTGGAGCAGCCCCTGAAATATTGGAACACTGCTATCAGGTCTCCCCTAGTCCTTCTTTTCACTAAACTAGACATATCCAGTTCCTGCAACCATTTTTCATATATTTTAGCCTCCAGTTCCCTAATCATCTTTGTTGCTATTCTCTGCACTCTTTCTAGAGTCTCCACGTCTTTTTTATAATATGGTGACCAAAACTGGATGCAATATTCCAAGTTTGGCCTTACCAAGACCTTATAAAGTGGTCTCAACACTTCACGTGATCTTGTTTCTATCCCTCTGTTTATGCTGCCTAGAACTGTGTTGGCTTTTTTGGCAGCTGCTGTACAGTACTAGGGGAGACATGAAGATAATAGCAGTCTTCCAATATCTGAGGGGTTTCCACAAAGAAGAGGGGGTGGGGAGTGTCAACCTATTTCCCAAAACACCTGAGGGCAGGACAAGAAACGACGGATGGAAACTAATCAAGGAGAGAAGCAACCTGGAATTAAGGAGAAACTTCCTAACAGTGAGGACAATTAACGAGTGAAAACCTTCAGAAGTTGTGGGTCTCCCCTTCCTTTTGGGGTCTGATTTCAGATTTATTTATTTCAGATTTCTATACCGCCCTTCTCCTTTCGGACTCAGTCCCCACCACCCCACCTTCGCAAACAAGACAAAACCTACCGCCACCCTCTCGGCCTCTCTCTCGCGCTCCCGTTCTCGTTCCCTTTCCTTCTCTTTCTCTTTCTCCCGTTCCCTCTCTTCTCTCGCTTTCTGCTCCGCTTCCCGCTTGGCTTTCTCGATCGCCTCTTCTCGCTTCTTCGCCAGCTTGGAGCCGGCCAGGGGCATGAAGTACAGATCCGTCCTCGCGCAGGAGTTGTAGCCGCGGTCCAGGTGCTTGTAAAACCTGCAGGATGGACGGGGAGGGTGGGATGAGAAACTAAAACGATCGGCGCAGGAAAAAAAAAAGCAGCGGGATCTTTGAGCATGAAAAAGAGATGGCCACAGATCTAAAACAAACCAGGAATGTACAAAACGCAGAAACGCGGATCTAAGACAGGAAATTAGCTTTGTTCCCCTAATTTGGAAATAACGTTTCAGAGGAACTCTTTCTTGAACCAAGGATGCCTTCTGCAAGCTGTATTTTTATTCTGAAACTGACAACAGTATTGTTACAGGTCTTTTATTTGTACTGCTTTCCTTGTTCTAAACATCGATATACATATATATACACACAAAACTACTATGCTCGTTTCTAGAGGTTTGGAACTAAACTACCCATCATGTTGGCTAGGGATGATGGGATCTTTCGTCTTCCTCCCCTCTAGCAGGACATCAGCTGGAAAAATGATTGGGGACTGTATTCCTCCCAGATTTTTCTCCGTGTTATTCAGTCTTGATCGTTAAGTGCCTGAGGTTTTATATCGTGATGCACTAAGCCACATTTAAACCATGGTGTCAGCACTTCAACCTGCATTTACTCTAGTGCTGACATAAGGAGGAGAAGAGGGGGCAGCTGGCAAGAGGACGCTTGACTTCTCACCTACTTATTTTCCCTGAAGATAATGTCCCCTAGGCGATGAGTTGGGAGGGGGGACATTCCTAGGAGCTGAAGTACTAGATATGGGGAGAGTGATTTGGAAGAGGGCCAATGGGACGCTGAGAATTGGGGAACAGAAAGGGAAGGTTTGGGGTCAGGAAGTCAGTGTTAGCTTCGTTTGGAGTCATGTTAGGATGTCGTGCTCAATAAATAGGAGTTTTTTCTTCAAAGATTTTGTTTGAAATGCATTTTATTCGAGACAACCACGAAACTTGACACATGGTTTCCTGAATACCCCACAAAGGGGCTGAATTCGCATCCCATCTAAGTCCCCCAAGCCTGCCCAAACCATCTATCTCTTCCAGCTAAGTAGATGGGCCAAAATGGAGATGAGCACTGCCCCATAGAGTTGGGAATGACTAGCACATATGTGCAAGAGAAACCTTTACCTTTTACTATATATACTATATATACTATATATATACTCTACATCTCCAAGCAATAATCATGAAATCACACCCCCTCACCTAGCTGACTGACTGGCGTGGCTCGGCGTGTCCACCACGGTGGGTTCTGGCGAGGGGCTCCGGGTGGGGGGAGGCGGGCTCTCAGGCTCCTCGACGTCATCAGGCGCCTCCTCCTTAATCTGGATGGAGGGGATGGTGCAGGGGGCCACCACAGGGACGTTTCCGCCGCAGGCCGCTGAGCTGGACACGGCCCCCTGGCTCGGAGCGCTTGGCACAGATGGCGGCGTGGAAGTCGACGGGCAGGAGGGAGGTGTGGCGGGAGGCGGCCCCCAGGAACGAAGGGGTGCTGGGCGAAGGAAGGCTGGGGAGGAGCAGGGTGGCTCTGGGTGAGGACTGGCGGCTGGGTGGGGGAGGGTTGCAGGGGCTGGCTCTGGGGCATCAGCTGCAAGGGAGGGGGGTGCGCGGAGGGCGGGTGGTGGGTCGAGAGGGAGCTGAGCGGCTTCAGCGCAGGGGGCGGGGGCAGGTTGGAGTTCATGGAGAACGGCGAAGGGCCCGAGAGGTGCTTGTGGGAAGGTAGCGTGGGGAGAGGCGGGATGGGCGTGGTGGGTGGGGGCTTGATGTGGGGCATGGCCATAGGGGCGGGGGGCAGGGGCTGCTCCCGGGGGCACTGGGAAGACAGCGGGGACGAGGAGGCCACTTGGCCAGAGGAGACCTGCAGGGCAGGGTGGGCCGGGGGAGGGAGGGGACCCTGAGACTGCGAAGAGGAGGCTGGCAAGGCCTGGGGCGGGAGAGTGAAGGGCTGTGCAGGGGCCGGGTGGGGCAAGAGGGGCTGTGCTTGCAGACCATGCGGGAGGGCCTGTATCTGGCCGTGGAGGGGCGGTTGAGGGTGCGGCTGGGGGAGGCCCTGGGGCTGGCCCGGGGGCCCTGCGAGTGGCTGCAGTGGCGGGTGAGGAGGGGAAGGCAGCCTGGGCGGGTGCAACGAAGGGACCTGCTGGATGTGCGAATGAGGGAGGCCCGGAGCCAGAGGCTGGCTGGGGGGCTGCGCTCCTGAAGGAGACACATGCGGGACGACGGTGGAAGAGGGGATGCTGGAGCCGGCCGGCAAGGAGGGCAGCTGTGCTGGGAGGGGCCCCGGAGGCTGAGTCGGGCCGTTGGGCGCCTGGAGAGACGATGGCTGCTGCTGGGCCGAAGAATCCGAGTCGCTCTCGTTGTCCTGCGGGCTGGAGATGCTGGGCGAGGTGCTGCGGTTATCCTGGTCGATGTCTTTGGGGTCGCTGCTGCCCTCGTCGTTCACGCTGCGGCTGTCGGAGCTCTCCCCTTCGCCCTCCGAGGGGGAGTTGGGCCGGCTGATCTCCTGCGGAGGGGGAGGAAGAAGAGGAGGGGAGGACATGCCGGAAGATTGGATCCTCCAGAAAGCTGCCATGGAGACGGAGGGGAGCTACCACAGGCCACAGGGGTCTCTTGAGCATCTCATGGCTTCCATCAGATCATGCCACCCCTGGAGGACAACCCAACCTCCCTGGTGCCCTTCGGAAAACCACCGTGGGCCTCCCCTAACCCTGGTGTCAAGATGGGCTTCCACCACCCACCCTAGCGCCAGCGGCTTCTTCTCCAAAGAACTCACCTGGGTTTTGGTTTTCTTGGCATTGATGCGGTCGGGCTCCTCGCTGTCGGACGCCGCCTTTTCTCGCTGCCTCTTGGAGCTCTTGAGAGGGGAAGAAGCCTCTTCTTTAATCTTCTGCCGCGGAAGAAGAAGAAAAAAAAAAGCAACGTGGTTTAAAGGGAAGGCACAGGGCTAGCGGCGCCAGGGTATCTGGCCTCCTAAAGGCTTCACCCAAGGGGTTTTTTTCCTGAAGTGGCGGAAGGAACAAGGAACGGAGAGCTGGAAGGAGATGGAGGCTTCAAGTGAAGCACCACCGCTGATGGGTTGAGAGGTTGGATTTCCAACAGGCTTCCCCAATGGAAGGTCAGCGGAGGGGAAGAAGGGAGAATGTCTGACTTGGCTGTAGGGTTTATTGTCCCCCCCCCCCTCTTTTTCCTCTTCTGTACTGGAGTTTCTTTCACATGGCTTCAGGCTTGACACAGCTTGGAGCCAGGGGTGGGCTTCAAACATTTTAGAAAGGGGTTCTCTCCCTGGTTGCTGGGTGGGCGTGGCCATGGAGGGTGTGGCCTAGTCGGCCTCCTGCACCAGGGTGGGGAGGGGGTGTCTTTGCCCTCCCCGGGCTCTGGAGGCTTTTCTCGAGCCTCCGGGAGGGCAAAAACGGCCTCCCCAGGCTTCCCCAACTTCCAGTAGGCCCGTTTTTCACCCTCCCTGAGCCTCCGTGCGCACTCTGCATTTACCTGCATCCAAAACGGGCCGCATGGGGACTCCTGGGAGGGGAGGGGTGGCCAGGGTAAGCCAGGAGTGGGATTTGGGGATTCTCCGAACTGCACAGAATCTTAGCTAGAGGTTCTCCCGAACCCCTGCGAACCCCCAGCAGCCCACCTGTGCTTGGAGCTGAAGGGGGGGGGGGGTTGTAAATAAAACAAACTCGTTTATTCTGGGTCAAGGACACCCTAACTGCCGGCTGGCTAGAGGTGGAGGAAGGAGTTGCCAGGCGACCAGCCAGTGCCTGGATTGGACAATGTGACTGTCCAATCACATTTGGGGGGAAAGTGAAACTTTTGGTTTTAATGAGGTGGAAAGCGCGGGAAATCTCAGAGTTGGCTTTCCACCAGCTAATGCCAAGATGATGTCTCCAAAATAAAAAACGGTTCTTTGAGAATCTGCCTTGGAATTCTGCTTGAAATGGGGTCATTACTTGGAATCCTGACACTCAAAGGATGACACGAGAAGACTCATAATCCCAGCTGGGTGATTCACTGGAAGCTGGCAAGATGAGGAACTCTGCGGGAGGGTTCAGAGGGGCAGGGAAGGGCCAGCTCCATCAGCCGCGTTTGTCTTCCCTACCCGCGAAGGAAAGCCAAAACTCTAATCACAACGTACTTTGGTGGATTTCTTGACCGAATCCGCCTTGCTGTCGTTACTGGACGTGCTGGCCGCGCTGGGTGAGTTACGGCCGCTGGATCGGATGTCCTCGTTGATGGGCGAGGCCCTCCCGTCTGGGCTGGTGGGTTGCTTCTTACGACCGCTGCGAAGTGTAGACATCTGCTGGTTAAAAGAGAAAGGCAAGGTCAAAGGCTGCTTCCGGGGAGGCTCGACCTTGACCGCCAATGTGAATAAACTGACTTTTAATTCTCTCCCAAAGCCATCTTGTGTTGGTCAAGCGACTGTTGGGTCTCCATCAAGGGCAATTCAAGTCTGGATCCAAACTTAGTGAGGTCTTGACCAGGTCATTTTGGGAGAAGATGGCTCAGTTCCATGGTTTCCACCATGTTAGGTCTGGTTCCAGCCCCGGAATGCACCTGGTGGCCCTTCTTCCATTCCTCAGCATTCAGGAAGGAAGCCACACTGTCACCCCAACGCTCCCTGGAGAACCTCAAAGTTCTCAAGTCCTCGGTAAAGCAGGGAAGCCAAAACAACTGAGCCTAGGAAAGGATAATGTGCGATGGGACCATTGCCTCTTGCTTTGTCCACCTGTTGAACATTATGAAACGAAGGACTTGGGGGATGGGGGGGATATGATAGCAATATTCCAATATTTGAAGGGCTGCCACAAATAAGAGGGGGTCCACCTATTTTCCAAAGTACCCGAAAGCAGGACAAGAAGCAACGGATGGAAACTAATCAAGGAGAGAAGCAATTTAGAATCAAGAAGAAATTTCTTGACAGTGAGAACAATTAATCAGCGGAACGACTTGCCTCCAGAAGTTGTGAATGCTCCAACACTGGAAGTTTTTAAGAAGGGATTGGACAACCATTTGTCTGAAATGGTATAGGTTTCCTGTTTGAGCAGGGGTTGGACTAGAAGACCTCCAAGATCCCTTCCAATTCTATGACTCAATGTTCTATGTCAGGGGTGTCAAACTCATATTCATTTGAGGGCCGCATCAGGGATGTAGTTGACCTTGGAGGGGTGGGGGGTGGTTCGGCAGGTTTGGCTGACTGGGTGGGTGTGGCCGACTGGGTGGGTGTGGCCAGCTTGACGCCACTCCCCAAACTGCTGGGCCCTTTCCTCTTTACATTTGGTAGACTGGGCCGAAGCCACGCTTCAAGGTTTCTTCCAACTCTGTTATTCTGTTACTTTATCACAAAAATGGACTTACCGAGCCGCGACTCCTTCTCGTCCTCATGCTATGCTTCCCACTGAGACCGTCATCTTCCTCTTTGACTGGCTTGAACATAAAGGGCGGCGGGTCCACCGGCTTCTCGATGGGAGGGAGCTCTCCGTATTTCTTGAAGTGGATGCGACAGTCCGTGCAGAGAAGGATGTTTTCCCGGCCCCCGTGATGCCAGTCCTTGGAGGCTGTTAAAAAAATGTACAAAAAAAAAAATGCGATCAACCCCGGAAGAACGAATCACAGATTTAAAGGGGAGGGGGAAGGGGTGTTAGCCCTGGAACCATTTTTCTCCCTCCTGGCACTTTTAGGGCTGCCACAACAAAGCGAGTCAAGCTGTGGGAATGGGAAGGGGGAGGAAGAGATAGTGAGCGGGACAGAGGTGGGTTTCAGCAGGTTCTGACCAGTTCCGGAGAACCGGTAGCGGAAATTTTGAGTAGTTCGGAGAACCGGTAGTAAAAATTCTGAGTGGCCCCGCCCCCATCGATTCTCTGCCTCCCGAGTCCCAGCTGATCGGGAGGAAATGGGGATTTGCATGATTCTGTTGATGTAGCCGTGTAACAATAAAGCAGAATTTGTTTACAGTCTGGTCTACCTGGGGTCACACCCGCTAGGTAAAAAATACGTACTGGTGGTGAAGCAGTGACGACACGCATAGCCCTTCAGCTCCTGTTCGCTGTCCTCGCTGTCGAAATCATCTTCGCTGGCCGAACTCAAATCCACTAGGAGGAATTAAGAAGGGGACAGGGTAATAGATGCAAAGGAGCTTTGGCGCTAAGTGTACTTCGTCGCTTTGTATGGTTTTATTGGTAATACATGTTTGAACCTTGTATTTTGATATGGCCTATAGGCAGGGGTGGGCTGCTGGGGGTTCGGGAGAACTTCTAGCTAAGATTCCGTGCAGTTTGGAGAACCCCCAAATCCCACTCCTGGCTGGCCCCGCCCACCCCGCCCCTCCCAGGAGGCCCCACACGGCCCGATTTGGATGCAGGTTTAAGTGCAGGGCATGCTCGGAGGGTCACGGAGTGTGAAAAATGGGCCACTGGAAGTTCGGGAAGGCTGGAAACGGGCCTGTTTCCACCCTCCAGAGGGCCTCCAGAGCCTGGGGAGGCCGTTTTCGTCCTCCCGGAGGCTCGAGCAAAGCCTCTGGAGCCCGACTAGGCCACGCCCACCCAGCAACTGGGCAGAGAACCCCTGGCTAAAATTTTTGAAGCCCACCCCTGCCTATAGGCTAATCAATAAAGCTATATCTATCAATAATCAAAGGGGACAGGGAGAGAGAGAGGGAGAGAAAGGAGAGGGAGAGGGAGGGAGGGAGAGAGAGGACAAAAATAAACAAACTGATTCAGGGTATCTATCTTCCTTCTCCTTTTTTGGGGGGGCTACACAGCAAGGAGGAGCAGCACAGAATGTGATACTTATGTGTGTCTTTTTTCTACTGAATTATGTAAGGAAGAGTAAAGAAACACCCCCCCCCCGGGCCATGCCTCTTTCCTCTGGACACTCAATTTTGTCACCGCACTCACGCCTACCGAGATTTCCCTGGCATTGTCTCCAACCTATACACTATACAGGTAGTCCTTGCCTGACAACTTTCCATTTGGTGACCGTTTTAGAAATTAAAATAACATCGAAAAAAAGTGACTTATGACTGTTTTTCACACTTATGATTGTTGCAGCATTCCTGTGGTCATATGATCAAAATTAGGACGTGTCCCGTGTGTGTGTGTGTGTGTGTGTGTGTGTTCATTCAATGCCCTTTTGCGACCTTCCGAAAAGCAGAGTCAATAGGGGAAGCCCGATTCACTCAACAACCGTGTTACTAGCTTCACAACTTCGGCGACTCACTTTAACAAATGTGGCAAGGAAAGTTGTAAAACGGGGGCAAAACCAACCCACTTAACAACTGTCTCACTTAGCAATAGTGAATTCTGGGATCAATTGTGGTTCTAAGTCGAGGACTGCCGCTACTGCTGCAGTCATAAGGGCTAGAAACTTAAATTTTCTTTTTTTCAAAGTGAAAGAAGTATATATTGTAGAGCAGGCTGAAGCCAGCACCCCCTTCAGTTGGGTTCTCCGCCTAGACAGAGAGCAGGTACAAAGCCTACCCTGTTTCCCCGAAAATAAAACCCAATTGGAAAATAAGCCCTAGCATGATTTTTCAGGATGCTTCTAATATAAGCCTACCCCCAAAATAAGCCCCAGTTAAGATGGTCAGCCAGATGGATGCATTTAGTACCGTATTTCCCCCAAAATAAAACCCAATTGGAAAATAAGCCCTAGCATGATTTTTCAAGATGCTTCTAATATAAGCCTACCCCAAAAATAAGCCCCAGTTAAGATTGTCAGCCAGATGGATGCATTTAGTACCGTATTTCCCCAAAAATAAGACCCAATTGGAAAATAAGACCTAGCATGTTTTTTCAGGATGCTCGTAATATAAGCCCTACCTCAAAAATAAGCCCCAGTTAAGATGGTCAGCCAGATGGATGCATTTAGTACCGTACTTCCCCCAAAATAAAACCCAATTGGAAAATAAGCCCTAGCATGATTTTTCAAGATGCTTCTAATATAAGCCTACCCCAAAAATAAGCCCCAGTTAAGATTGTCAGCCAGATGGATGCATTTAGTACCGTATTTCCCCAAAAATAAGACCCAATTGGAAAATAAGACCTAGCATGTTTTTTCAGGATGCTCGTAATATAAGCCCTACCTCAAAAATAAGCCCCAGTTAAGATGGTCAGCCAGATGGATGCATTTAGTACCGTACTTCCCCCAAAATAAGACCCAATCGGAAAATAAGACCTAGCATGTTTTTTCAGGATGCTCGTAATATAAGCTCTACCCCCAAAGTAAGCCCCAGTTAAGATTGTCAGCCAGATGGATGCATTTAGTACCGTATTTCCCCCCCAAAATAAGACCCAACCAGAAAATAAACCCTAATGCATCTTTTGGAGCAAAAATTAATATAAGACCCGGTTTTATTTTCAGGGAAACATGGTAGAAGCTGAGCCACAAAATAGGTTGTGCAGGTGGCTAAATGCGTCACGCTCAGAGACAGACCGAGCGCCTGAGCACAGTTCCAGTTTCACAGCCGGGTCCAGCCCGAAGTGGAGAAAACCACGACTTTCTGTTTGACCCCATGCATCTAAAACAGAGATCGATCCCCCCATCCCCCACCCATCTTTTCAGTTTCCTACTTACAGAATTCGCTGGAAGGAGGCCTGGAGGGGGTGTTAACCGGAGTAGAAGCTGTCCGGGTCTTAATTCTTCGAAAGACGGCTTGTCGCCGATGCCTGCGGTGAGCCCGGGAACTGGCAGCTTCCGGGGTTTTCTTCCAATAGTAATAGAAGGTGATCAGTTCTCCCTGGGGAAAAAAAGAAAATGAGCGGGATCGCAAGGTTAGCCGAGAAAGTTAAAGAAAAGGAACATGATTTTTTTTTTTTTTGGAAAAATCAATTCCTTCAATTCTTTGTTTTTTAAGTTTTATTTTTATTTTTTTACAAAGATATCAATGCGTGAACACTGTAGCACCTGGGTGTCATACATTCTAATAAAAATAAAACTAGTAGAATTAATCATAGTTTTTTAAAAAAATTATTCATTTATTTTTATATGCCGCCCTTCTCCAAAGACTCAGGGCGGCTTACAATGCGTTAAGCAATAGCCTTCATACTTTTGTATATTTTATACAAAGTCAGCTTATTGCCCCCACAAACTGGGTCCTCAATTTACCCACCTTAGAAAGGATGGAAGGCTGAGTCGACCTTGAGCCTGGTGAGAATTGAACTCGCAGCAATTGCAGGCAGCTGGATGTTAAATGCTGCCTTAGTAGGAGGCATTAGCCGCCTACGCCACTCAGGCTCCTTTTACGTTTTAGTTATTACCTTCAATCAATTTATATATTTCTAATAATGATACACATTTATATGACGTTGCAGCCTGTCGTTATTCAATTATTCCCTGCTTCCTCTTGTTACTGCTTTTATTTTATTGTATAAAAGTGTATACACCGATATTCTCTTACTTCTATCTCTTATTCTAACTTTTGCCTTGGAACAGGGATGTGTCAAGGCCCACGGGATGGATCTGGTCCTGTGGGATGCTTAGATACTGGCCCAAGGTGCCACCCTGGAAGCAGAGAGGGACTGGCCGGGATGCCTCTGCCAGTGAAAATGTAGCTCGGGAGGGCTGCCTCCACCCCCGCCCCCCCCAGCTCTGTTTTCACTGGTAGAGGGTTGCAGGAGGCCGTCACAGCTGGAAACGGAGCTCAGGAGTCTGTTTTTTTTTGCTGCCACCACAGGTACCCCCGACATGCGTGACGTCAAGTTCCCCCCCTCCCCCCAGGTCGAACACAACCTTGATGTGGCCCTCAATGAAACCGAGTTTGACACCCCCTGCCTCGGAGGGTAGGCCACGTTCTGCTCTCCTTTTCGAAGTTGCATTTCCGTATCCACCGAAAGTCTGTAGAGATTTTCAATTTCGAAATTTCAATTTCAAATCTTTATTCTCAGTGCACAATGTATGTACAATGAGATCGGTTGAGCTCCTTCAGTGCACACACCCCCACATCACAATACAACTCACAGTGAAGACAGAAAATCCCTAACTCAATAAATCGTATTAACAAAACACTCAGTCCTATTGTACCCGTGTGAACATGTTACACGTTGCACCGGCCCTGCAAGTCCATCGTACTACGTAGTTACAATGTTATTCAGTCATCCAGGTTATGGTTGTCCCAAAGGCGCTTGTTTTTTCCAAGAGGCCACTGGACTTTCTGTTGTTTTTTTTTTTCTTTGAAGACATTTTGCTTCTCATCCAAGGAGCTTCTTGAGCTCTGACTGGATGGTGGGGAATAATGGAAGGATTCAAAGCAAAAAGAAAGAAGTCGAGTGGGCTCCTGAAAAAGCACCTTTGGTTCATATGGATGGTTTTGAACGGTTGGCATTCCCGGCACGAGAAAAAAGTTAACGTCCCCGGTCCCTCAAGTTTAATCCTTCGCATGAATTAAAAGCCTTAAAAATAGCTAAAATTAGATAATTAAAAAGAGGGGAGGGGAAAGGGAGCGGCAGCTGATAACCTGGGATTGAAAAAATGAATAAAAATCCAGTTCTACGATCTCCTGCTCAAAGCTCTTCCCACAATACGAAAGCCGTAAGAAGACGATCTATTTATTTTCTTTATTTATTTTCTTTATTTATTTTTTTTTGAAATCTTCATGTACGGATGTTCGGATAATTAGGCAATCAAAGGGCCCACCAGGAGAAATCGGCAGTAATCCCGCAGCGTAATGAATCTGGCTCGGGTTCAGAATATCAGATTCGAAAGAGAGAGCAGGTGTAGTGGGGAGTTTTAAAGCCTGGTGGATGGATTTCAACTCCGTGTGTGTGTGTGTGTGTGTGTGTGTGTGTGTGTGTGTGTGTGTGTATGTTTCTAACTGACTTCTCAGAAGCCGACAAATCGGAAGGGACACTGCCTCCAATTGCCCACAAGAGGGTGCGTATGTCTCTCTCTCTCTCTCTCTTCCCCTTTCTTTCTCTGTCTCCCTCCCTCCCTCTCTCTCTGTCTCTCTCCCTGTCTTTATCTGTCTCTGTCTTTCTCTTTCTCTCTCTCTCCCTCTCTCTCTCTCCCTCTCTTTATCTGTCTCTCTCTGTGTCTTTCTCTTTCTCTTTCTGTCTTTCTCTCTCTCTGTTTCTCTCTGTCTCTGTCTCTCTCTCTCCCTCTCTTTATCTGTTTCTCTGTGTCTCTTTCTCTGTGTGTCTTTCTCTCTTTCTCTTTCTGTCTTTCTCTCTCTGTTTCTCTCTCTCTCTGTTTCTCTGTCTCTGTCTTTCTCTCTCTCTCCCTCTCTTTATCTGTCTCTCTCTGTTTCTCTCTGTCTCTTTCTCTATGTGTCTTTCTCTCTTTCTCTTTCTGTCTTTCTCTCTCTCTGTTTCTCTCTCTCTCTGTCTGTCTGTCTCTCTCTCTCTCTCTGTTTCTCTCTGTCTCTGTCTTTCTCTCTCTCTCTCTCTGATCTAACCAATTCCGCAAACCTCAACCCCAACTGCCAGGTTGGGTCTCCTCTGGGTAGCTAACATTCATAGATGCCAAAATGAAGGTTTAGGCCAATGCCGGGCGAAGAAACCGGAGACAAGCCAGGAAATGCAGGTTTGAAAACTCGGTCTTGGGAGGGTGCAACCAGGCCCAACCTGCTCCCTTAATGGCGATTGTGTCTGGCTAAGGAATTAAATGCTGGAATAAGAGTAAATCCGGGAGGATTATAGGGTTCCTGGGTGGTAGGGGACTGCCGTGCAGACAAAGGACCCGTCAAGGAAGCTTTCGGGAAGCGGCAGACGGGGAAACACCCCCCACCCCCGGGTGAGTCAAGCCGAGGGAACATCAATCAAACACGCACTGCGTGTGCCCGCTGACACGGCTCACCCCTCGTGCATAAATCCAGGGGACAAAAGCCACCCGAAACATTAACGCAAGGAGTTGTGGATCAAAGGGAGGCCCTGGGTACAAATGGGGGGGGGCGCTTTGTAAATTAGCCAGCGGGGCCTGTTCTTTGGCGGCACAGAAGCCCACCATCCGTCTGGCTGATCTCCCTTGCTTCCCCTCACCCTCCCAAGACCTGTCCTGCTCCTAAAATGTCCAGGCCCAAATAGAGACGGATCTCAACATCTATGGAGATACTCGGTCATACATGTTATAGTTGTCCCAAAGTTCTCCCCCCACCCCCCAAGAGGCGTGGACTTTTTTTCCCGCCTTTGAAGACGTTTCGCTTCTCATTCAAGAAGCTTCCTCGGTTCTGACAGAAGGCTGGAGAATGGAATATAAATCCTTCCATTCTCCACCCTTCAGTCAGAACTGAAGGAGCTTCTTGGGTGAGAAGCGAAAGGTCTTCAAGGAAAAACAAAGTCCAGTTGGCTCGTGGGGGGGGGGGAAGCATTTTTGGGTGCGCCTCTAAATCTCTGTATCTCAGGTGATCCCTTTAAAACGTAAAGATGTGATCTGAAGCCAAGCTAGCTTTTAATGCTGGCTGGCTGGGGGATTCTGGGAGTAGAAGCCCATCCACAGTTGAGAAACACCTTGCGTGTGCCTAGTGATGCGTTTTACCTGTTGGCTGCACCACAGGTGATATCCTTTCAGATTAACAGATTATACAGAGTTGGAAGGGACCTTGTAGGTCATCTAGTCCAACCCTCCATCCAAGCAGGAGACCCCACACCATTTCTGACAAAATGGCAGTCCGTCTATTCTTGAAAGCTTCCAGGAATGAAGCTCCCACAATTTCCGAAGGCAACTTCTGTTCCATGGGTTGATTGTTCTCACTGTCAGAAAATGTCTCCTTATTTCCAGGTTGAATCTCTCCTTGATCAGTTTCCATCCGTTGTTCCTTGTCTGGCCTTCGGGTGCTTTGGAAAATCGCTTGACCCCCCACCCTCTGTGGCAGCCCCTCAAATACTGGAAGACTGCTCTCATGTCTCCCTTGGTCCTTCTTTTCATTAAACTAGACATCCCCAGTTCCTGCAACCGTTCTTTGTATGTTTTAGCCTCCAGTCCCCTAATCCTCTTGGTTGCTCTTCTCTGCACTCTTTCCAAAGTCTCCACATCTTTTTTATAATGTGTTGACCAAAACTGGATGCAGTACTCTAGGTGGGGCTTTACTAAGGCTTTATAGAGTGGTATTAGTACCTCCCTCGATCTTGATTGACTCCCTTTAGTAATGCAATTTAGGATTGCCTTGGCTTTTTTGGCTGCCGCTGCACACCGTTGCCATCGGTACAGGCACTACTATGGAAAGTTTTTAAGTAAGGGTGTCCTGGGATGGGGCCTGCCCTATTCCCCAGCAAGCTATAGCTTTAATTTCCTACTACTTTTTTTTGTTTTTATTTAGTTGTTTTCTCACATTTACATGGCCGCCCATCTGCCCCGAAGTGAGTCTGGGCAGCGTAGGATAAACCCGCTTCCGGCAACAGTCACTCCAGATGCTTTCAAAATTCAAACGAAGAAGTAAATAAATAAATACCGATTTTTTCCTTTGGAGACATGGATGAAAAGACGGATTTTCGGCTCTGATAAAAGAAGATTTTAAGGCTGTTTTGGAAGGAAGATGCTGGGCCTTGTGGGCGACACTGCCCCCTAATGGCAGAACACAGCATTACGTGCCTGAACTTGGAGCAAAAGAAGGTTTGAAATATGTTTGCTAAAATTAGCGACAACCGGCTGTGCTATATTTACACACAAGCCAGAAAAAGACCAGCCGTATGACAGGAAGGGAGAAGAGAAAGAATGACTAATGCAAACCAGAACAGGGAATTATTATTATTATTATTTTAAAAAGTAATTTAGAAGCACCAAATTGAAAAGATGAAAACGGGGGAT